ATTGATCAGTAATTGAGGGCTGAGCTCAGGTCTGGACACTGAGGAAAAACCCCCTAAAATAATATCTGCTCACTGAGTCAATACATGCATCCAGGATATTGATGAAGCTATAGAAACTTAAGAAAACAAACGTACAATGAGGCAAACTAGATCTGCAGGGCTAGCCTCCAATTTGGTCCCATTTGGAGAGCCTGAATTCAGATGTTTAATGCAGGTTTCTGTTTGTCAAAGTATCATGCACTAAGGACAGGTTTCATGAGTCCAGTCCTGTGATTCCAACAGGTCCCTCATGTGTTAGGGATACACAGTTAGTTTTGTGTGAAGATAGATAATTGCTGACAATGAAGCGTCTAGTTCAGTCAACCACTGCTCTTGCTTATCGGTGGAGTTCTGTTTCTTCATCCTTTTACTGGCAGATTGCAGACACCTGCAAAGCGACTCTGCACACTACAAGACAGAACCAGCTTCACCATGTTACAGTGACTGAATCAGCAGTCTTAGAAGAACAAATCTCAGCTTGATCTTTTACCCTTCTGCTGGAAATATAGCAGGATTCAATTTCTGAGATGGTTAATTCTAGTTTCTCAGTTCTAAGGCAGGTATCTCGAGTCAGAGAAGCACTTAACCATGTGCATACATGTCACTGTTCAGTCAGAACTTACTCCTGGGTCATTTCTCTAGTATCACTTTCCAGGAAAGAAAAAACCCTTCCTTTGCTTTCCTCATTTGGCAAAGAAGATATATGTGCACAGCAAAATTGAAGTCAATGGGCATTAAGCACATGCTTGAATGCTTCCTTGAATTGGGACCTCAATTTCTAACGTGGCAGTGATTTGTAGAACGGATACATGGAAACACAGAGGGGTCTATTCTAAAGGTCAAACTCACTGCTCCCATTTTATTCTGCAGCACTGTTGTGGTCACAACTTGCTTGAAGGCTCTGCGAAAACCACAGAAACATGGCACAGATACACCAGTCGTGACAGTAAGTCTTTATCAGAATATAACATGGCAGAATTCGTGCCACTTACTATATAAGAGACAACAACGCGTGACATGTTTTACTCAGGTTTGCATCTGGGAACAGTGCCAGGCAGCAAGGGGAACATGACTCACACACACACACATGCACGCTCAGTGCTCCTGTTTTGCTTAATGTACAGTCATATTTTCTTGAAGGGGGTGGCAAGGGAAGTATTTTGCTTTGGTGCTGCTAGGCAGACAGCACACCCCTCTCCCACGTGAACCAACAGTGTTGGTGGGATGTGGGCCAGTCTGTGGCCCAGGCTCTGCCTGACCACGGCGCATCCCTGTGCTGGTCCTGTTTCTTGTACCAGCAGAAACTGGATGGAGCAGTAGGTGGAAAAGAGCGTGTGGGGCACATGCTGCCTGATGGGGTAGTCACTTGACAGTCAATCACTGCAACACGAAGTGACAACGATACCACCTGGGAAATTTCTCTGCTCTGCTGCTCGGACTGCTGGATGCTTTATGGCAGAGAGCAGCTGAAGGAAGGTGGTTTTATAAACCGATGGTGGGAAACTACACCCAGAAGGCAGAGACAGGCACTATCTATCCCAGCAAACCAGTTAAATATCAAGGCTAAATGACAGGAGAAATAGGGGCAATTTCCTTTCTAATCCAGCCATCCATAACAAGGTTTTGGAATATCAAGTAGGATAAGATAATTGTTTTCCTCATTCTCCCCATGCACAAAAAATGAATAAGAGCATAAACATCATCAGCATCTCTGAAAGGGCGAAGCTCACTTCACCTTCTTGTCTGAGTGGTTGCAACTCCCACAAAGGGCTGTGCTGTCAGGCAGCAGAATAGGCAATTCTTTCCTTGAATCATGAGTGCTGAGCTGTGAGCAGTCGGAGCCTTTTAATGCACCTCCGATACGACTAGTGGCATGACCGCTCAGGTTTGATCAGTAGCCTGGATGTGGCAAGTGCTGGAGCTGCAAGCCAACCTCTGTGGGAGAAGTAGCAGTGCTCTGCTGCCTATGTGAGCCTCATTTCAAATGCTGTAAATATTAAGGAATGTGCTACTTCTTCCAACCTTTCAGTGCTCTGTCTCTATGCGCACAGATGGGCATTGGGAGACAGAAAGCCAAGTACAGCTAAGTGCACTGAAATGCTCTGCAGCTTTTAAAAATTGCATCCAGCATCTGAATCTGTTTATCTAACCTTTTTTTCCCTCTCCTCCCTTTTCTTTCTCAGAGAATTGCTCCTACTGTGTGGATGAAATGCTCCAAAATGCAAACAAGCAAAATATGGAGCTGAGCTATGTTGAATGAGAGTTCCTCCATTGCCAGATGTGAAAAGAACAAGGGGTTTGAAAACCGTAATTTGTTTAAAAAAAATATCATTTGGTACTTCTGAGCAATTTGATGATTTAATGAGCACAGATGGATGTGGGATGAATTTCTAGGAGACAAGTGTTTAATGTATCTGCTCAGATTATTCCAGGACTAAGCATTATCCTTCCTAGTGCATGAAGGTAATTAATATTTCCCATTATGGGCATGAAAAAATTCATATGATCAGTTAAGGAATGCAGATACACCAATGATATGGAAGTTAATTCATAAATCAATTAGAGAATCTTGCCTGCTGTGTATAATTAGGATTACTTCAATTATAGCTTATTTTCGGATTTAAGACTCAGGAATTAAAATGCTTAAAATCAGAGTAAGTTCCTTACTGTTATATACTGCAACTGGAAGTATTTAGTCACTTTTAGCAGTCTAAATCTATTTACTCCTGATTCCATCATGGCTGAGCAGACACGGCTAACTCACGTCCCTCTGGTTCTATTTTGCCACTTAAAAATGTCATCAGTTAAGTGTTTCACTATCTGGATCATCCTGAGGTGAACTGAGAAATTTGTAGGACATGGGACTAGCCCTGGCATATTAAATACAGTGTCTGGACACCTCTACAGTAAGACTTTGAGAGCAGCACCTCAACAGCCAGCTCTAGAGATGTCAGGAGATGTTCTTGGCTTCTTTTCATGGCTACATTTAACTAAAGGTGTAGCATTCCACTGATTTAGTTACACTGGTGCTAAATCTGGTTTATATTGATTTAGCTTTTCTTATAGCATTAATCTAAACTGATGTAGACCAAATTAAGTGTGCCTAAATAGGGATTGGTTTTTCACTCCTTATACTAAATTGCTTTTTCATGGATTTTAAGGACAAGAGACTACTGTGATAGTCTGCTCTCACTGCCTTCATTACAGTGCTGAAGAACTTGCCTGTATTTATTTCTGCTTCAAGTCTAATAGACATGCTTGAACAACAGCACCTCTTTCAGACAAACTGCCCACTCTAGAGTCAAAATATTCCCATGTCTGTCCTGTCTGCAGTGTCTTACAGACTGTTACCAAGCCTTTCCTAAGCCTGCTCTTTACCAGGTGTACCAAAGCTCCCTGTATCACTCACTGCAAGTATATTGTTTTAAAAATTTCACTGTTCTTATGATGCTTCTCTAAGGCTGCTCCACTTTGCCTCAGACCTGGCTCTTCTGAAATCCAGTTACTCTGTGTTCTCCTTATCAGTTAGTTGAATTATCTCTGTACCAATGGGTCTGCGCTCTTCATCACCTACCTCCCACTTCAGTCCTCTGTTCTGCAACAGCAAAGACTTTATGTTGCAAAGTGCAGGTCCAAGACCCAGCTCCTGTTGGGCTACACTACATACACGCACAATCATTTTCTAGTGATTTCTGATCTAGAGTTAGATTTGATGCCAGGGAATCAGTTTTCAATCCACTTAGTGTCTGCTGTGTCAGTTGTGTACAGTTTACTCAGCAAGACATTTTACAGTAACAAACCAGCTGCCTTAGAAAAGTTTAAAAACGTTACAGTGTCATTGTTACCTTCCCAACCAAACTTCAACCTGCATTCAGTTAAACACTGTGTAAGGTATGGACTGTCCAGTAGTATCCCTTACTATACCCTGCATTATCTACTCCATGACCCCAGCTGGATTCAGGGTCAGGTGGTTTGCCCGGTCCATTCCCTTCAGCCTCTTACATATACTCAGACAAAAGTAGTTTCTTTCAGACTTCTGGAACTTTACTATTCTTCCAAAATGTTTTTAAATATCAACTCAAGAGTTCTCTAGACTGCTTTTTGAAAATGCTTTGATACTTTTGTAAAAAACATGTTCTCCTCAATGACTTTTGAGTGGAAAGCATTTCTACAGCATCGTATGGGTGCATTATCTGTTCCCTTCCAGTCCTCAAACTGCAGTCTTGTAGAAAACATTTACCTGAAGTTAGCACATGGAGACCTAGCTCTTTTCTGTGCCCCTGTTTCTAGTCAGTTATCTCTATCTCCATCTGCTTTTGTATTTTGGTGTTCCTACTCTACTCTTTCTGTGTTTGCAAGGTCACTCTAAGATACCGAGGTGCAGAGCAGGCTGCTGAAATGTACTCCAGAATCACTGGTACATTCCTCTCTAGAAATGAAGTACATTTTTTGTAACAAGTCACTGAAGATGGCACTATCTGTAACTATCCTACACAAGGAGAATTTGAAACAGTCTTTGATATTTCAGAACAGGCCAGAAATGACCTCGGTGAGCAAACACATCATCCCTGTTGTCACCAGGCAGGAAGCATCACATGACAACCTCATAAGTTTATTAACCATAGGGTCCCATTTAAAAAGGGGCCTTTGCCAACAGCATTGACATCCTTTGGGCTGTGAAAGCACTGCTGTCCTACATATTTAGACCACTGCTGTACAGTTCCACGGACTGGTGCCGCTCACCACGTTTTTAATCAATGAACATTAAACCTGCCCTGTGTGTTGAATGATTTTCAATGGGCAGATACATGTAAGTCCTGTCTTCCTAAAAGACAGCTGAGCCACCTACAGTCAATCCACAAAGCGGGAAAACTGCAACAACCCTTGAGCAAGTTAAACTTGCAGCCCTCCTCCAAATGCCCCCTGAGGATGCAGGTGACCTCAGGAGATACACAGCTTACCTTTCCCGGGGCAAAGGCTTGGGCTCTGGCCGAATAGCTGCCATGGAAGAGAGGGGCTGCCTGGCAGGAGAAGGAATGGAAAAATTCAAATCCAAGGAGCCTGTTTTCCTGTGCAGAGGCTCCAGCCCCATGGCTCCCTGCATTTCACTCTCGATAGGGCATGAGCCAGCCCTGCCATGGCTGGAGAGCGAGGAGAGCTCAGGTCCCACTGCCCCTTGCAGGACTCCTTCGATGGCTGCCTGGGGATCATGTGTGGGGGACACGGACGGTGGGGAGCGTGACTTCTTTTTTGTTGATGCTCCTGCTAGAAGTTTCAGCAGCCCGCTCTTCTTCTCCTTCTGCAAAGGAACCAAATGAAATATGGGCAGTGAGCAGACATACCAACTCCCTTTGTTTTTCTTTTGGAAACCTCCCAAAATTGCCATGCCTAGAGGTGGATCCAGGTAAAACTTGAGCTTTTGGTAATAAAGATCCTATGAATATTCCTCCCCATCCAACAGGGCTTCAACTCATTCAGCAGAGTAAGGACCTAACTTACTGCAAAGATTATCTCCAATTTTAATGACACAAGGAGTTTTGCAAAAGATCTGTTAAATTTCTTCCTCTTCCGTCAGAAGTGCAAGCCATTACTCAAGACTATCTTCAGAGACTTAGGCCTGTGAAGTTTAGCTCTATTTGATAATTTGTTCTATAATAGGATCCCAGGAGATAAAAATGAACCAAGCAACTGCAATACTTCTGGAACAGAAACTATCTTCAAGCAGGAACACTCTTTGGAAATACAAGCCAGTAATTTATTTATTCTCTGTAGATAAAATGTCCCATGCAATGTTTAAAATTATTCTTTTTTATGTGCTGACTGCTGAAGTAATTTCTCAAAGCGGCTTTAAAGAATAGGAGGGCTACAATAAAATAAATACAAGCTTTTAGAAGATGCTTGGATTTACTACAGTAAGAGTATCTGATATCTCTGCTCCCAAAGTTCTTGTTTGCACTCTTTAGCTCTCACAGACTGGTAAGAAAACAGAAATACCTTAGATGTTAAGACATGGAAGAGGTAAAATGAAGCATATAGTTGTTATCACAGAGACAATGTTCAGTGATTTTTGAAGAGTAGAGTCTTAACTATGCTTCCAGATCCCAGTCTCCTGCGTACCACCAGTTCCAACTATACACTCTGTTTAAAAGGGTGTTTGTCACTTACAGGATGGAAGGATCCATCCTGCTAAGATGTTCATCCAGGCAGAATCCATGGAAGCTAAGAGAGGCTGGCCATATGGCACCATCAGGTCAAAAATACTAAATAAATTCCCCTGGAAACAATAGAAAACCAGACCAAACGCCCCTGATGAACCTCTTCTTTCTCTGAAAGAAAGGGACTGTTGTGGGAACTGTGGTAGGTGTGCATGCTGGAATTCACCTGAAGCACCAGAAAAATACTTCAGTTTTTCTCTCACTCTCTAATTAAGAAATAGCGCTGCTGTCATCATTATATCAAATTTTAAAGCTCTTCGTGAAACTGCAAAACTTTCCTTTCCCTGTGGTACACTGAAACAATAGCTCTAATGATCCCAGCATACTGTGTCAATATGCATTTGAAGGTGTCTAAAGGTCAGTGACAGAATACAATAGCCATTGTGGGGCTCTGGAGAAACAGCTATTGTGCAGCTGTGAGCACTTTGAGCCTCTTTAATTGGCAGCTCTACACATGCAAAGTAACTATGTGAACTAAAGCCCTGCATAATGAACAATTAATATTCCTATGTGGTAGCAGCTTTTCTAATTTTTACTTCTAATTTAAATACCTTGGCAAATTTTCATTAGAAAAACCTTGTGTGACTTAGACCATTCAAGGCATAGAAGCAAAAAATCTTTGGAAGGAAGGAGATGCATATATTCACACCCATCTGCACATTAAAAATCAGATGAGTTTGACAGTCATTCAATTTTGTTTACAAGAATGGCTTCCACTTTACAGAGTTAGCCCTGGCATAAATTTCTACACTCAAACTACTATCCCTCAGATAACAGAGAGCTATAATGAACTTGCTGATGTACCCTTTGTTCTACTTTGATAAAAGGAAAAGTAAAGAATTGATTTTTAGCTCTTCTTAGTCCACTGAGCATTTTACTAAACTTTAGAAACTGTGTTCTCTCAAGGGAGAAGATGACTTCAATTGTTAAGCCTAGTTCTGCACGTCAAAACCTGGAGTCCCATCCTTCCCACTGTGCCCTTGGGCAAGATATTTAGAGGTGAACTGACACTAACCACTTTGGGTGCCTGGAGATTAGACATTACGTCCAGCTCTTTCTCCCTTTGAGTCTGGCAAATGCTCTCAGCCTTCTGTATCCGTTGCCAGATCCTCTGCTGATGCTGCTTAGAGCACTTCAAGCAAAACAAGGACTGTCGGGAGTTGATAATTTATTGTGATGTGTCTCATGAGAAACAGACTGGGTTTGAACCTCCTGTGATCAGCAGTGCAACCTAAACCCCATCATGCCAGCTCCCCCAATCTGTAAAATGAGGCTAAGTTAAAACTCCTCCTTGTGCCATGGGAATTTGTGAATGACTCCACTGTTAGAAAGCTGTACATTTCTTTGAGAGCAACTGGTCCTTTTCCATGGCTTTAATATTTAAAAAAAAAAAAAAGAAAAAAAAGAAAAGATTTGGAATGGGATGTTAGTATGCAGTCCCAGTAGTGATTTATTGCAAATGTCCAAGTATTATGAATTCATTTAATATTTAGTATAATAGCAGCCATCCTTCACAAGAAATTAATTTAATATTTATATGGCTGTCCAAGACAGTCCTTTCTTCAGCAGTTTCACTCTAAATCAATGAGGCATTAATAGGCATAAATGCTGTAGAGAGATCTACACTGATTGGTTACAGACTGTGGGTTTTGAAAAGAGATAAGAAGTTTACAGAGGACTTATCTGATGACTTTCAGGAATTAAGTTTTGAATGAAAAAAAAAAAAAAAAGATGGTTTACTTTTTCCATTCACAGATGACTGTTTTATTGTTTTCTAGGAAATCTGTAATCTACTGAAACAGCTGTGTAATTACAGAGTTTTCTTTGTCTGGTAGCTACATTTCCAACTGACTGCAAACTGTGTTTGACGTCTGTACCTCCTGAACTTGCCAAGGTCAGACCTTCGCATCTGTGTTGATGGATGGATTCACAGTGTGGACAGCACTTCTCCATCTCCTGGTTACTGCCCACATGTTTAACTGAATTTAAATCATCACCTTTGTGTTGCTCGGGTTTTATTCTGGGAGGTTCAGACTCAAAAATTCCAAACCATTAATTTCACAAGGATCAATACCTTGTTCAAAAAAAAAGACAAAAGAGTGAAATTAGCTCTTTCAAATAAATCCCAGGCTGTTTCTAGTTAAGAAAAAAAGGACTGTGAACACACAGCATAGGCAGGTCAGAATTTCTTACTTCTCTAGTGAAACCTACTCTGTTCCTACAGTGTAGCATGAAGGAATCTCAGTGGAAATCAGTCTCTGGCAACACAAGGATAGTACAGGCAGCATTTCTGTGACCCTGAAGCATATACCTGGGGAAGCCAGCACTTGGGCAGGTGCAAGTTCCCCTTGATATGTCACTGTGGGAACATTTGGAAAAGTGAATACAGTATGAGCTTAAGAACTCATGAAGGACTAGATCAAAATTAAAGTCTCAGATATGTAAATGTTGAAATATTTTGCTTCAGAGTAATTGGGGATGATTTTTCCCCTCATTAATAACCCCACTTGAAGATAATAACTAGCTCTTCTTTCAGCTTCAGAGATGAGATGAGCACAGAATGCAGCTTCGTTGATGACTGAGTGATAACGGAGTCCCCTGTCTGCAAAGCAATAATCATGGTATAATCCAAATACCAATTATATGTACTAGCTATATTAATACAGATTTTTTTGTTTGTTTGTTTAAACCACCCTAATAAACAGAAAATTCTGTTTTAGTTTTCTTCATCTGCAGCTCCTAATACATAATTTCCTACCTATCTAGGCTCATTAAATAAATGAGGAAACCTTACTGCAGCTGATAGAAAAACTGGCTCCAGCCACCAAAATGAGGTAATTTCTCATGCAACACCAGTTACATCAATAGATAAGAGAGCCAGAGGGAGAAAAAAAGATTTCATTTAAAAATGAAGAGGAACAAAACTGTTTAAATGCTGCCCTGAGTCCTACAGAAGGAATGAGGAACTCATCCAACAGTCAGTACGCCCAAACCACCACCTTTGTTGCCTGTTTAACTTGGTCAGTACTTATTTCAGCAAATTTAAGTTAGTGTCTGAAGAACAGTGCATCTTTATTCTGATAGCAACTTGGTTACAGGTGATTGATGCTTGCACTGAAAGTGTAGGTGGCATTTTGGATTACATCTTTTAGGTAAAAAAACTATTTGCATTTTTAAAATCTGTAAAATTATTTGATTTGAGATTTTGATAATTATTTAAAAAGCATAGAAAACAAACCAGCATCATTGCAAATGAAAGCTTCAGGTTTGGGATGTCTTTGGATATGTATTTATCATTTGCAGTCTGCCACTATTTTTCATGAGGCGTAGATGCCATACTGAACAAGACAACAGTAATTACTTACTACATGATTACGTCTAATTTCAGGGAAAGACTAGTTTTGTATCATATACTGTATGGAAATACTTGAAGGAGATTTAGTTTTTAATGGATACAACTGCTTCTGGCCAGAAGTCTACTATTATAACCTCGGTATACAAGTTACATGCCAAGGAACAAAAATTATTTTAGAATCATATCATTAGTTTTTAAATCCCAGTGGTAGTAACATGCTTACATACACACACAAACATATTAAACTTATGGTCACTAATTTGAAGATAACTAGTATTAAAGCCAGGAGAAAATAAGAAAAATGTCTTGCAGCTAGACTTGATTGGGGATTTCAAATGTTTTGAAAACAAAACTAAGAAGAAATTAGTGTTCAGGTCCCAATACAGCAAAGCACATAGGCACTTCATCACGCGCTTTTGTTGAACTGGGGCGGATGCAGGGCTCTAGGGACTACTAAAAGAGATAAAGAGGGAGTCTAAAAATATATTTGAATATTCAATTTAGACGGCATATTAGATCTTTCAAACACTGTAACAAAGTCAAAGGGAAAACCTGAAGAGGAAGCAGAGAGTCTCAGCTATTGGTGAGCTTCCTGGAGGCTGCTGAATTCATAACAGGCAGAAAGCAAAAAGAACACTAACACAATTAATGGTGAATGAGGGACAGATGATCTGCTACGCTGAAACTTGAGTTTTTGCTGTGTTCGATGGAGGGAGAAGCTGATGGATG